TATTCTAGGGGTCATGTGTTTAAGTCCAGCAAGATGCGCATTAGCGTTGGCGGTAGGGCTAAAGTCAGGTTTATAGGAGAGGGTAGCGTTAGTGTTGAGTGTAGGCCCTGCGAATATTTACCCCTCCCGGAATTTTGCACAAGGCCAGCTGTACTACCGGGGGGATCTTTGTTGCCGTAGTGTACCAAAGAAAGGGTGATGGGAGCAGTTGCTGTTAAATGAACTCCTCAGAAAGCGTTTTCCATTTTTCAGCGGAACAAAAAACTTCGAGTCTAGGAGCCTACCTTCTTTGAGAGATTTCCGTAGGCGTATGTCTTTATGTAGAGTTTGGAGAGGAATGCAGGAACGAAGGCCTTGAAGTCCTCCAGCTGGAGGGTCTGAAGAGCCTTCATAAAGTCCTCAACCAGGGACTCCTTCTCGTCCGAAAAGTACTCGCGTATGTGGCTGAAGAGGGAGAGAGAGAGAGATACACAGACATGCCAGTTCCAATTATGTTTAGGCTACAGGAAATACGAAGCCACACGGCCCGAACGCAAGCACAAGAAGCCAGGGATGTAGTTGTGGGCTGGGCCAAAGCAAGCAGACATGAAGGCAATAGTTACCTGTTATAATCAGCGGGGTTGAGAACCTTGTTGCAGGTCTTTTGGCGACGGCGATCCTTGTAAGTGGCAAACTTTTTGTCATTAAAGTCCAGCCCGGACTCAGAGCCGGTTACTGGGGCGACTATGAGGGCCAGGATCTCCTGGTACAACAACTGTCATAAACAAAATAAACATTTGCGTAAAAGTAGGCACCTGAATAAGGTGGCAGGGCAGGAGAAAAGAGGATAAATGCAAGGTAGGAGAAAAAGAAACACGATTGAATATCCTCATAGAGGTGGGCGCAGTCATTTTTGAAGATATGTAGCTTGTTTTTCCCCGCTAAACTACCTTCTAGTTGCCTAGAGAAGCTGTTCGATTGCTATACGCGAGGCTGTAAATCACTATATTTCAGGCTCCAATACGCGGAAGGCGAGAGGTAAAAAAGCACATATTTCACTGGAGAAAAGCAAACCCACTTCCTGGAGATTCCAGTCCTACTTTCCCCCAGATTTGGCAGCCAATTGCTACCACCCGTTCAAGCCTGAGAAATGCACAAAGGCACAAATGCATTCGAAGGGGGTTCACTGCGAAGGAGCAAGAATGCTACGTCTAACAATTGAATACGGGAAATGGTCCAACCAAAGATGACCGTATACGGTAATAGTTGCACAACGATGAGCTGGCTTCCCATACGGGGCTCAGAACTAGGACTCGCTGAGTTAGGACAAAATCAGCTCAAAACAGTGCATTTTTTGTCAGTGACGCTTTCTGTAAAAAAAGACTTAGTCCTGATTGGGACCCAGCAACTCTCGCTAAGGAAAGACCCCTATCCGAGGCACAT